AGTTTCATTAAGATTGTATGTCTACAAAAGAAATTATTCAACAAATAAATTCGTATAATATTGCCCACATTGCACCGCAGCCGCTGCTTACTGCGCAGTTAGCAGAGCGCGTGCTTATAAGTGCATGGGTATGTATGTGTACATAGAAGAAGTGCAGAATGATTAGAATATCAGCTTGGAGGGTTCAGGGTATCTCCTAGTCGAGCAGTCTCGACTGGAGCCTTCTTACTTGTTTCATCTATAGCATCTGAATGTCTTAGATTAAGCAATATGGATTTGCAACGAGTTACGTGCACGTTACGACGTCTGTCTGGATATATTGATTAGTGCCGTTAAGATATCGCTCTTTCACCTGTCAGTAGACAGATTAGCTATAAGGAACACCTGGAGTGGATGACTATATAATATGATATGATAAAAATCTGTTCTGTCTATCTTTAATTCTATTGAATCAGTTTCCTTGCATAAATTTAAACACAATATGAAAGTTATTTAAGTCAATGTCTCTTCGACTCGTGGAAGTTGACCTCATTTTTGTGGGTTTCATAAAATAATGTACATGTCCATTTGAAATGCTTATTTAAATGCCAGCGAGTATGTGGATAATGCACATTTATTAGAGCGTCGTTAATGAAGTGCATTTGTATTTATATTACCGCATTGTCATGTCAGATTTATTTTCATATGCAATTAGCGTTTTATATTCATTTCAGGACGTGCCATTGCTCATTTCCCATTTCTCATGCGTTGGCGTTCTGCATTAAATAGGTTTTTGATGTCAAACCAAGGTTAATTAATTAAAATGCTTGTCCTGCCCTGGCTGCAACTATTTAGATAACTACGGCAAACACGACAAATGGCTATCGCTTTAATATTGCGCTCCAACAGATTTATTAAGAGTGCTGTTGTATGTGTACTGAGCTCTTCATCATGTTATAAGCATAAATATCTGAACAGTCGAATGGTTCCTTCTAAATTTACACCTGGCTCAACCTGGCCTATGCAGTTATAGTGTCTAGTTTATTTGGATAAAAGTTTTGAATGTGGGGGTGAATATTGTTAGACTGGTTTATAGACGGCATATTTATTCGAAACTGTATTTTAGACTCCTGTCCACATCTAAGGGAAATCAAATCTAACTGCCCTTTTGAAATGTGAGTTTCAGATAAATAGTTGAATTAAACTTTAGCTAGTAAGGAATGATAATTACTCTTCAATTTGATAGGCCTGCATACATTTACTTTGATACTTTGCTTTGGTGGTCTCAATTAGATCAGACAAATTAGCTGAACAATAACCTAATCAAGTTTTCAGTAATAAGCGAAGAAGTAATAAGATTCGGGTTTGATCTTAGTTAAGATATGTCTGACGAGACCTACTTACAACAGGCAATTGTCGTCTTCCACAAAAACAAAGCAATTACCCATAAACTTTTATTTTCCTTAGCCTTTATATCTTTTATGCGGGAACCTAAAAAAAGGAAAAGAAAACCCACAGAGCAACATATACATACATATGAAAAAAAGAACGTGTGTAAACACGAGTGCGAGCATGTGACTTGTTCCACAGTATTATCAAAAACATTTCCACAAACTTATGACAGCAGGCGGGGCGGGGTAGACGTGTGAGGCAAGGCTACGGAAATATGCTTGTTTTGGCTGCTGGCAATTTTGAATGTATGCCAAATGTTGTTGTTTTTATTGTTGTTGCTACTGTTGCTGTTGCTGTTGCTATTTCTATTGCTGTAATTGTTACACCAAACAGTGAAATGTGCAATGATAACGCCGCAGTGTCTGTGCTTGCTCCACATTTTCGGCAATCGTACACACATGCATAGCAAAATATGCACAAGTATTGGCGCTTGGGCAACGCGTATCTGGACTGGGCTACAATCAGCTGGCATTGGGCCATTTCTGTGGCTGTTGTTGTTGGAGTCTTTAAGCTGCCTAGGTGGTCTTTAATTAACTGGAAAAAGATCTAGGTCTGCCCAATCTTTTAAAGTCTTATGGAAATAGAGGAGCCGTCATGGCTGACAGTTTTAAAGCTTCGTATTATCAGTATTATTTTGCACAATTTTTTACTATATGCGGCAAGCCAATTTTTTATGCAACTTCGAAATTTTGAGAGAATAATATAATAAGTAAAAATATATCAAATGCATATATATAAACAATT